GGGATTTACGGAATTACACACCAGTGATATAGTGCCTATTCGGAGTAAGTCATTATTCAATGTGTGATAAGCTGTCCTCACATCAAAATGCATACAATTGTTAGACCTAAGGGACGTTCTACATGTGCTAGCGAATCATTTTGATATGTTTTTTTGACAGCATGCAAATCTTCTAAAAGAGAAGAACTATCTATAGACGTAATCAATTGCACACATCAAGGAAAGCTCATTGCTACAAAAATTATGACAATACTGCTACGACATCAGTCAAATAGTACATGTATTACAAAACAAAATTATGCCAAATTAACTCATTATGATGGGAGATACCCCTTATATTATTACTTATGCAGTAGGGAGAACATAAGCGACCGTACTCATATTAATAACAAAAATTGTCCTACAGAAGAAACAACAAACAAAAATAAAAGGGGTCATTTAGATGATAGATACTTCTCCTCAGCCATCTAAAAAGGAAATGTTGGTGTGAGTCGCATATGCAAAAGACTACATGGCAATATTTCTGAGCAAAATGAAACTTTTGAAAGAGCAAACCTTGTGGAGGACTTCAGCATTTTCTTTTCCAGTTTCCTCCACCAAAACTTTGAGAACACATCTTGGCTTTTGGAGCAACTCGTACGCTGGCCCAAATTCAGCCACTTCGCCATCTTTCAGCACCTGATCGGAAAGCATTAGTACAAACACAATAGGCAGTTACTTGCTATTATCCTACAAGAACTCTGCTTGAATCCATTATTGTATTCAATCGATGTGCTATGGTCAATACAGTAGCATCCGCGAAACTTCCGCGTATAGTTCGTTGAATAAGCGCATCCGTTCTTAACAAAATAAAGGTGAATCGTACTTAAGAAAGTGCGGTATGCATTAGATATATCATACCGAGGGTCGACATTTGCAGTTGCTTCATCAATGACTATGATCCGAGAATTACGCAGAAGAGCCCTTGCCAGGCAAACAAGCTGTCGCTGTCCAACCTATACGATGAATTAAACATAAACACAAAAGTAAAGAAAGAAAAATGGAATGTATACGAGAAACTACGGACTAAAAGATCGCTAAACAAGTTACACGGAGGAATAACTTGCTTTTGACGACTGACATCAAGAGTACAATAAAAATATCATACTTGATATGAATATGCCACCCTATAGTTTTTTTTTTTGAAAGCAAAGACGCCACTTACCGAAAAGTTAGATCCCCCTTCGTGCATTGGCGATTCCAAACCTCCAGCTAATTCCATCACTACAGGTTTAAGCTCTACCTGAAAGCAACAATTACGTTTACGATTTATAAACAGATACCAAGCATATAGAACCTGATCTAAGACACGCCATAGTTCCTCATCAGTATATTGGTTAAAAGGATCAAGATTCCTCCGCAAGCTTCCAATAAAAAGAACTGGTTCCTAGAAAGATCAATTATAGCTCCACATAACGGAACTTGAGAGATCTTCAGACAAACTTGCGGAATGATGGCAATCCCTCTTCGAAGCACTTTCAAAGGTAAAGTCGCTGTGTCTATACCATCGATCGTCACAATTCCGGATGATGGAGGTGTGAGTCGAAATAGAGCTCGCAACAAAGAAGACTTTCCCGCCCCGGTACGTCCCACAATACCAATCTAAACCAGAACAGTTTGAGCATGTCCAGAAAGCACTCACAAAAATCAGATCGAATCCACAAAGTTCAGACCTTCTCCTTCGGTTTAATATCCAATGAAATGTTTTTTAGCACGTACTCTTCGTTTTCGCCATATTTCATGTATAAATTACTGATCTTAAAAGTAATGATAAGAATTACGTTCTTCTCAAACTGGAATAACTAAGCAACAGTGCGGAACCTTGATATGTCCTTCACTTGGCCAAGATTTCGGCACCCTTTCGGTTTGGGAATCGTTATGTTCAGATTCGAGTTCAGTGTACTGCACTATTCTCTCGACAGAAACCATCTAAAGGAGCTTCCGTCAAGTGAAGTTGAAAAGCGTACTGATATGATATTTTTACTCCATTCTGTAATTCAGCCGACTGTCGCATAATCCATGAGAAGAAACCAGTCAGCTGAACTGCATAGACTAACATTAAAGCCACTTCACCAGAACTCATAGTCACTAAAAAGCAAAGTACTCTAGGCTCGCCAGGAAATTTGATGTAAAAAAAACTACATTCAAACAATGCCATAGCTACCTGTACTAATAACGCTGAAGAAAGCCACAATCGACACAAATATGGCTACCAACCAGTCTATGCATACAGCGAACCAACGAGCAGTTGTGAGTGTAAGTCCAAAGGCAGCAGTGTTCACATTCTAAAGCAACCTATTTGTTTCCGAAGAAGGGAGGAAAAAACAGCAGCCACAAGAAGATATGATGATAAGAAATACCTGAGCTCTATGATATTCTTGCAGAACTTCTGTTTGCTTACCGAATGCTCTAACAGTGAATAAGCCATTCATAAAACCCGAAATATGGGAGTACAGTGGACTACGAGCTATAAATATAAAACTATACATTTACTTAATTATTAGACATGTACTGGATGGTAAACCTACGTCGGAACTATTAAAAAGGCAATAAATCAATAATTAATAATCAATCAAGCAAGTTGCATCACTTTCGAGCAACAATGCTTAGAATAAGAGATTAGAAGCCAGAACTTTATTCAAAGCTGAATGTATTGTATAGGTGAAGAATTTAGCACAGATCTGAGACCTTTTTCCATAGTCAGATGATAGAGGTCTCTCTGTTGATGCTAAGAAAAAATTTGAAAGCTTAGCTACCCGGCTTTTTGTGTCACTGATACTTAAAATTCGTTTCTTCTTAACACTTTA